TAGGCATAATTGTTCCCATTACTTGTTCAGTACAATTGATATTAACAAATCTATTATTATTGAAAAATATATATGTATGAATTACCTCTTCCATATCCATGTACCCGCCTTCGGGGAACATTTCATCGGCTGCCAATGTTGGTTTCATTTCTTTGGTATTCGAATCCGTTTTTGATCAATCTTTCAATATAAAAGTTCAATAAATATGAGTTTTACCGCTAAATACGATATTAAAGCTAAAAATAAACAAATATTTTACGAATTCCGTCTTTCTGGAACGAAATTGTTCAAATGCTCGATTTTGCAAATTGAACGAACGGAACTTTTTTTGCAAATAAGGGAGATACAAAAAATGACCGATAAAGAACGAACACAAGGCAAAATGACTGACACACATATGTGTTTACGAATGAGTGCAAAGCGTAGAGGCGGCATACAATGTTTTTGTTTAGAAGGAGACATAGCTAATGACAAAAAACAACTGATTCAATTAGGGACACGTAGGTCGACATCACACGAAATATATAAAGGGGCGATGGCAGTAGATAAATGAAATAATTTTAACTTTTTGTGTCCCGAATTTTTCCGAAATCATAGAACAATTTTCTGTTCACAGATTTAATGCAACTATGCTAAATTGGATATGAACAAAATTTGACATCACTGCATCCTTGTATTCGGGAGGTACAGTACATTCTTTCCGAAAAATATAAGTCTAATACGGCATTTATACGGCATTTACATTAGAACTTTTTACCGGGTTAACCTACTTTATGAGGATTTATTTGGCATATATTCAAAGGAATTGAAAATTTAAACCCACTCGGTTAACCAAATCCGGTTCAATGTAAACGACCTTTAATATCAAGAAAACGAGTTTAGGGGCTCTTCCCCGATTTTTATGAAGTTTTTAACACAGGTAGATCTCGTCTTACTGATAATTACCTTGTGTAATTATGCCATTCTTATTGAACATGTCTGTATCAAAATCTCAATTCCTAGAAAAAGTGGACTTATTGCATTTTCACGAGTCATTAGCATAATCCACAACTACGATTTAAAGTGCGTTTAGATTTACGAAATCCAATCCATCTCAAATGTCAATTCCGTAGCGTATACGTCAATAATAATCCACTGGATTTGTGAACAGGATTAACGTGACGTATACACAATGGAATTGACGTTTGAGATCGAGTGGATTTAGTAGTATAAACATAGGCTAATCTAGTCTACGTTGGCTGTCAGGTTCGAAGATGAAGTTTATTAATACCAAAACCCATATAATTATTATTCTGGTTTTCGCTCTTTTTACAATTTTCAAAGTGTGTGAAGCTTGTTATTTTGACATCAGCAGTACGTATCTAAGTCCAAATTTAAATTAGGCTAGTTTACTTGCGGCAAGTCTTTGTTTTGTACCATAAAGTACTAAAAAATGCAACTGTTATCATTAGAGTACATTTAGACTACTAAATCCATTCGATCTCAAATATCAATTCCATCTATTAAATGAGTCTATTGGTGCACATAGGTAAAAAGTGTGTCACGGTTTCTTTTCAAAATCCAGTTGGGAATATGATTTAGATATTGATTCATCCACAAATCCATGGCTTTATTATACAAGGTAGTCTCTTGCAGTCATATGTTTCCAATTTTTTCTTAAATTTGCCTTTGACAGTATTCAGCTTTCAAAATTTAAATGAAAATATCTTCCTTCGAAATGTACGCATATCATGTGTTCTAGGCACAAATTGCTAAATCATTTATATTTATATTATGAGACTATTAATATATTTATTCTCAAATGAGACTACTTTCTGTAATTATGACATACCACAAATCATACATTTCTTCCTACCAATGTTGTAAAATTCATCTTTAAACAAATGGATTTTAGAATAAATTTTTCTATATTTTTCAAAACATCACATACACAGTCACACATTTTGTATATGACTTTGGCATATCAAGCCAAATAGTTCCGTTCCAGAACCTAAAAGAATTTACAAGTTTTGTAACTTCCTACTCGAAAACCATTCCTCAACCCACAAAACTAGTAAAACTTTGAACCAAATTTAAAGGAACTCAAAACAAAATGGCGTTCCCTTTTTATAAACTTTTACTCCAGAAATTTGAACGAGTAAATATGGTATACAGGAATGCCAATTTCTGATTGGCTTTTATGTTGATTTTGAAGTATTGCCATCTAATTTTGGGATATTTACTAGATTTGCGTTCCCGAATTTTTAAAATTATTTTGTACTCTGAGAGCAATTTTGAAATGTTTCCCTCGAGGCCTATAAATAATGTCGTCCAGAAAGACCATCTGAATATCAGCTGTCTCGTAAGTTTGCTGTCAAAATCCATTATGTGAATTGATTTCCATTATAAAAACGTAAACAAACGCAAAATTTTTAACATTAGACTTGAGAAAAAGCAGCTGACTTTCGTGTTTTCATTTGTCAATTCAATTGTCAATTCCTTTGCATATATGTCAAATAAATCCTCATAAAATAGGTTAACCCGGTAGAAAGTTCTAATGTATATGCCGTTTTAGTATTAAAAAAGTACTGGAACAGACCAAATATGAAAATAATTGTAATTTATAGGTGGCTATAAGTACGTTTACATTGTATCGGATTTGGTTAACCCAGTGGGTTTAAATTGTCAATTCCTTTACATATATGCCAAATAAATCCTCACAAAGTCGGTTAACGCGGTAAAAAGTTCTAATGTAAACTGGCCTAATAATTGTACCATGGTATAATCTACTTTATGAGGATTTATTTTACATATATGACAATATAAACCCACTGGTTTAACGAAATCCAGTAGAGTGTAAACGTACTATAACACTGATTTAAAAAAATTAAACTGTGTTGTATAAAAAATGTAAACAATTCGCGAGTGTGCACATTATTTGCTGAATCTTATCTTTTTCGTATCGTGGTGAATTCAGCCTGATTAAGAAAATAAATCCTGATTCCGCCTTTAATCATGATCAAATGTTATATGTAAATCCACTTTTAAAAATATTATGATTTTGATATTATTCAAAAAATTTTGCCACTGGACACAAGATTTGCGCACATTTCGAAGGAAGATTTTCGTTTAAATTTTGAAAGCTGAATTATGAAAAAATTGGAAACATATAAATCCCATGATGTTCGCCAGCGTCTGTTTGACAAGCTGTACCCGTTCCTACAGTGTCGCACCAACAAAAAAGAATGAATCCGTAGCTCGATTTTTCAAGACAGCGTAACAGCCAGAAAGAACTATTGTCATTATCGGAAGCGTAACAGATAATTTTCGTCTGTTGAATGTGCCCAAAATGACTATTTGAATGTTTGTGGTGATATAATAACCTTCGATCATTTGATTTAGAAGTGGAAAGGTTTCGGGGCGACCAATAAAGAACCCAACTCCTGTTGTTTCATAAGTTTGGATGGATAATGGGGAAACAGAAGTAATCGTCAGTTTCGGAGCCAATATATAAGAAATTAATTTATAAGGAAAGCGAACGCATTACGGTTCCGTTAAATTGATTAGCAGTGTATATTTTGAATATATATATATATATATATATATATATCTTTAATATCTGAAATTGGTTCCTATTAATGTAATAAAAATAAATACATAATAATATTTTTTTTTTCGCTTGAAGACACATTCCAGCTATGGTTCTATATATGTATATATATATATATATATATATAGATTCATAAATGTTTGGTACATTGTGGATGAGGTACTGGAAGCGTGGACAGTTGGTTCCCTTCTTTGGACTTGATTTAGGGTTGGAAAAAATTTTACGATATTAGATGAAGCACGATTTTACCGTAGAGAGTATTAATGTTGATAATTTCACCATGGACCCCTTCCTCCCTCCTGAAGACCTTCATACCCTCTTTAAGAATGCCTTCATCCCTTCTATCAGAAGTCTCCAGCTAAAGTCTTTATTTCTTCAACTAAGTTCTGGAAATAGTTTATTAACATAGTTTATAATATTAACTTAATACAAACAAACCGACTTAACAACTTCCCAAAGGTTCAGGATGCAAGGAATAGTACACCTAAGGATCATATTCAACATTTAATTAAATTTTTAATTGAGGTGTGCCGTCGTAAAAAAAAAGGCATTAGGTTTGACCACCAGTGTATATGTCAAATAAATCCTCACAGAGGAGATAACCTAGGAACAAATTCTCATGTAAATTCCGTTTAATGATGATTTCAAATTATAGAATTAATTATACGTTGCCTCCTTATATGCTACTGTCACTAATGTAATTCGATTTTGATGTAACCGGGTTAACACATACTTTATTAGGATTTATTTGACATATATGCAATGAAATTGACAGTTTAAACCCATGGGGTTAATGAGAATACAATATAAACGTACTAAAGTTTATTTACTACTAGATTTAGTAAATCCAGTACAATGTATTTAGTAAATCGTTGTAGGCGATAAAGAGGGTAAGAGTCTATTGTACATCTCATTTTGATTTACTTTTATTAACAAAAATAGTTTACGTCTGCCCCAAATTTATTATACGTTACCGGAAAAATGTCATACGTTAATTGTACTAAATTTAAAGATACGGCGTCAACGTATGCATTTAGTTAACCCAGATATGTCTTTCGTTGTGGTGTGGCAGCATTGCTAAGCCAAATATCATCACTGAATGTGTCAAATAGTGTGGAGAAGGAAAACAAAAATAACAATGTTGAATTGTAGCGGTTTTTGTGTTGTGTCATAAATTTATTTCGGAAATTAACAAAAAATAACAATGCAATTTATGGAAAATATTTATTTAAATGTTTACTATAGAGTAATTAAACAATTTCAGAAATCGGTGAAGGTAGAAATTCCCTCAGAAATGAAAATTTGTGTGAGCGAGCGTTTTTTAAGGTTGCATTTGTCACACGTTTTATGACATTGACAACACCGACGATGCCTGTTTGGCGCGCGTAAAAACAGCTGAGACATCGGGTCATTTGCTCGCTCATCTTAGTCCAACACGACGTTTGGTAAATTCTAAGAAAATTTTGTTGGCCCTTTTCATGGTCTCAAACCTCACCGATTTTCATGAAATTTTCACCATTGGAAAATTTCAAATTTGCTCAATTTTTTGCCGTAAAAATGATAAAAATCGGTTAATGCTAAGTGCCCGAAAAGCGCCGGCCAAAAATCGTATTTTTCGGTGTGTGTGGTGTGTGAAAAGAGAAAAAAGACCCAACCGTAAACGCTGGAATTGGAAATTCCTTTTCTCGCCATTTTGACTCGTGAAATAGTGATTTTTTTTGTTGGATGGATTACTATCAAACAACTTAAAAGTAAATGCTGAAATTTGTGGATGCATTTTGTGGGAAAAATAGAATGTTCTGATTTTATGTGAATTTGGGAGGGAGCGGCGGGGAGAAGAGTGTAGAAAAAAAGAAATCTGTAAAAAGTTTAATTAAAACAGAAAAAAATAATACTACGCAAACGACACCGACGACTACGACGACGAGCCATAAAAAGAAGACATTTTTTCTGGCTTTTAGTCGGTTGGTTGGTTGTCTCGGTGTTTTTGAGAAGGCAGCAAAAATATCGAAAAAAAAGAAGTGCATAAAGAAAAAAATAATGAATGATAAGAAATGGTTGCGGTTAAAATTGAAAATAGATAAAAACGCTGGCTGGCAGGCAGGCAAGGCGGACGTGTAATTATAGTGTGTTCTTGTATTGTTTTTGGTTGAAATTCTTGACCGCCTTCCGTTGATGAGGAGCGGGCAGAACCAGAGTTTCAGCCAAAACGAAAATTCGAAACGTCAGCAACGTCGGTCAAAAATCAAACCAATTTTTTTGGTTAATACTTTAAAAAGGTTTCTTGAACGGATTTTTTGATTTCGGTTTATTATCCATTTTTTTTTTGAGAATTTGTAAAACGACAACGTCGAGTGTGCGTGTGTGTGATAAGGTGGCCTGCCTGCTTGCTACCTCTTCATCATCATCGGAATAATAATATTAATTTGTTGTTGTGTGTTTTGTAGCGAAACGAAAATAGAAATAACCCCAAACGAAAGAAAGAAGAACTATTGAACACCACAAACTTCAAGCACAGCCAGAGAGCCCAACAATCAGCCAGCCGCCACAGCTACAGAGTTACGACGAAGCTGTGTGTCTGTCTGTCTGACTGTCCCGTCATACATATTTCCATAAATTGTTTAGTAATAATTTGTATAGTAGTAGAAGGCCGCCAGCAGCAGTAAAGCGAGCAAAAATAAACAAAAACAACAACAAAACGCGCTGGGAACAATACAAAAAAGCACACCAGAAAAATGGCGCACTCATCAACAGCAGCAGCGACTTCAGGCCCTGCCGCTTCAACGACAGGTGAAATAATTAATTATTTCTTTACAGATGAAAATGGTAAGTGTGTGTTAATAATAAATTATTATCCTTTTTTAAATACCTCCTTTCAAATGTGTAGAATGTGATTTGTAAAGGGAAGAGATCTTTCTATGCAAATTAGGTCGATCTTGTTCATGATCAATCAATTGCAATATGCTCTGCTCCTCTTTATTTCTCTCTTGACCGATCACATTTTTTGTGGTTTTTTGTAGTTCTTTTTTCCTATAATGATAATAAGTTGTGAGATTTCATTTTATTTTGTTGTTATTTGCTGCTGTCCATTCGTTTTCTTCTTTAGTTCATTCCTTCCCCCATCCAAAAATTAATAAACCCTAGGTGTAATTCTTCGTGTAGAGTATTCTGTGTTTAAAGGCAAATAATAATGACTATGTTTTTAACCATGCTTTGCCATGCCTGCCTGCCTGCCAGCTTGCTATCTTTGCTTACTCTATATATGCATGCACACACATCCCCCTTTAGCTCTATTTGTTGTGTGTGAGTGTGTGTTTGAATGGATGTTTGGTTGGTTGGATGGATTTTGATTGTGTATTGTTTTGTTGTTTTTGGTTGACGTTTTTCATTCTCCTTTACTTTTTCTCTGGTTGTTTTCTTTTGAAACATCAAAGTGTGTGGTGACACTCAGTTTAGGTCTTTCTTTTCTCACTGATGACGATGACGGTGATGTTACACTTTAACCAAGACTCTCCCATACTCTCCCTCTCGTAATATTTGATTGTTCAGTGTTACTGCCACTGTTGTTTTTGTTGCCGATGCATTATTGCCTATATTTTTCTTAAAGCCACCATATTTTTACACCAACAAACACAAAATAATAACCCACAAAAATAACTATGTGTTTTCTTGTTTTCGTTTCTTTCATTGTTGATTGTAAGTCTCTTTTGGGTTTTGGAGTTAGTGAAGATCGGGATCGGTGTTGAGAGTTTCTCTCTCACTATTTTTAATTTTGGCTCTGTTCACAAAAGGCTGACATAACAACTAAGATTTTTTATTATTCGTGAATACATTTACGCTTAAATTATAACATATATTATTTATGAAAATAACTGGACAACAATGTCCATGTGTATGTCATGGGTAATCTTTTGGGTGGTTTGTATTTTTTTTTTCGTTCAGTGCGTTACATTTCTTGCCTGAACGTGTTTGAGACACTGTTTTTTTGTTTCTGTTGTTGTTATTGCGCTGTTTTGTGTTGTACTTGCATACAATTATTCTACCGTTGTTGTGTGTGGGGTATATCGACAGAGAGGACTTGCAATTTGGTTTTATTTCTATATTGCAAATAATTTAAATGAGAAATAATATATCTTTAAGTTGCTGTACATGACAGGGAGGAGGGAACATGGTGTGGAACAAGTAGCAGATTTGAAAATTTGATAATTGCAATACTACGGATCTCACAGCCAATCTTTGTCTCCATGTGAATGGCGCCTCCAAATATCCTATTCTCAGGACTATGTCACTTCTTTTCTAAGTGGTCTGGTCAGTCAGTATCCCGACTGTATTCGAACGAAGCCTTGTTGATACCTGGGCGCCTCAATAAGTTTTTCTTATTCGAGTCCTTACCATGGTTAAAGGCTATAACATGTCTGACTTCAAATCGCTTTAAAAAATCAATCTTCCTTCCTCTCCCTCTTCTTAATGTCGAAGTCTACTGTCCCTTAATCTCGAAGTCTACAAGAACGAGATCCCAGCCAACGTCCACAAACAATGACGATTAAACCACATCAATTTCGACCATGTCAATACAAGTGTAGTAAGGCATATGGACCTTCTGCTCGACCTTATTGAGGAAACTGGGAACAAGTCTAGTTTAGGGCCCCCTCCCGGATCGTTTTGAAATTTTTACCACATGCAGTCCTTGGGGCCCTGATTACAGCAGTATACTTTATTTCTTGCGGAAATCGGTATTTCCGGAGAATATGGGTTGGGACCCTTGGCAATATTGGTATCATTTAAAAGCATTTTGAAGCCCTGATTACAAAAATATAATATTCATATCAAATATGTTCATACTTCCTTAGATATAGGTCCTATGGACAGATGGCAACACCGGCTGCGCGACAGAATCCCCTTTTAATTAGAATAGTGTTTGTGGGTAGCCGGCCTTCGGCCAGGGATTTAAGATTTTTTCCTATGGACAGATGCCAACACCTAAACTAGACTTAAGCCGAAACTGGCTCCTTCCGCCGTAGTCAGACAAGTATTCCGACTCGTCTTTGAGTATTCCGAGTATTCTGAGTATTTTTGATTCGAGGATAAAAAAGTTTCGAGACTTCTAAGGCAGCAGGTCGTTGAAGATGAGGCTGGTCTTCAACGGTCAGCTGCTTTAGAAGACTCTTGGCTGATGAAACTACCAGACGCGCCAATACCAAAGAGATCTCTGACAAAAATATTTACCGGAGACCTGTTAAATTTGTGTAACCGGTTTATCGAACGGGACAAGGACTCTATTACTGCCAAAGGATCCCTTCTGATTAAGAGGAATCTCAAATTCATTTGGAAGTTCTCTCGGAACTATATGAATGGCATTGAAAGAATTCATATGTCGCAAGTGAAGTTAACCGTAGTAGCCTTCCTCCAATGGAGGAGAAAACTATGAGTACAATGGAGGAGAAAACTGAGTACACCACTAGCCCGATAATGACTGAGACTTCTGTTTACTCAGCAGCACCCTCCAAGGGATATCTGAGTGTTGAGAAATCCCTGACAACTTCCTCCACTGCGAAGTCGGCTTTTAAAAACCCACAAAGATCCCAACTCCATCCCTACGGCGTGCAGCGAAGTTTCGAGACTTCTGAGGCGGCTGGCCGTTGAAGTAAATCCTGGTGCTGATGACCTCTATATTTTGTATTCCCTCTATATTTTTGAATTGCTTACTTATTTGCATCAGCGTATGAACTACAATTCCAATCTGCATGATGATGGAAATACCCTCTTTTTCGTTTTCTGGACCTTCAAATCGAGATCTTTTCTGTGGCCTATCCATTAATTATGGACTTCTTTGAAATTATTCTTAAAAATATCCCTTTCGATCCGTTTTGAAAGCAAGAGAGTATCAAGAGATGTTTTACACTACTACCACATTCGTTGAATTTCTCTCGCCTCCCTGATAGCGGAACTAAAACGATCGACAAAAAATCGTATACTTTGATGGGGTTGGTGGGAAATGAATTGTTCAATTCTCTTTTTTCTAAAAATATTTTGACAGTCGCTTTTATTTTTTCGCTTGTTTTTTTTTTTTCTACAACTTGTGTGTGAATAGTTTTGATAGCGGTGAACATTATTTGGGTGGCAAAGAGTAGCGTGTGCGTGTACAAACCGAAAAAATACACCAAAAACAATGTCTTTTGGCCAAGGTAGAAATACAACTTTTAATTTTCGTTAAAGGTGGATTATATATTTCTGTCTTTCTTTGGGTTGATTTTCTGTTTTGTTTCGTTTTCATTCTTCTTGTCTTGTTCAATTTCGATGATTTGTGTGTGGCTGGTGTAATATAAGAGCTTGTTCTAAAAAACGTAAAGAAATTACAAAATAATATATATGAGAAAAAAGGCGCACATATAAACGAAAAAACGTGTGTTGTACTATTAGAATGATAACAGTTTTGTTTTTATTTTTCTTTCTTTTCCGACACTTGTTTTTTTTACTAACCGAAAATAATGTCTTCTTCTTTTATGGCATGGTCTCCTCAAACACACCATGCCATGCGATGTTGTTGATGCTGTTGATTTTAACGCAAACAAAAAATAAAAATTGGAAAGGTATCCAATTTGTTGTTGCAAATGATTTGTATTTGTTGCTGAATGAACCAACAGTAAGATTGATTTTATTTTATTTTTTTTGTTAATTTTTATTGCGGTTCTCGTTAAGAAGATTAAATAAATGAAATTATGGGAGACAACATTTAATAATTGCCATGTTGATTCAAGTTAAACAGGTCCATTGTGTTCGAAGTTACACCGTAAAATTTTATTACAAATGAAGGGTTGTTGTTGCTGTTTTTGATGTATTGCTAAAATTGGAATAGAAAAAAAAACACTCATTGTTTTCCTACAGATAAGAATTGAAACATATGTATGTAAGTGGAATACTACATATTTGAATTGCAGATTACACATTTTCAAGGTATTACATACATATAGAAGTTCAAGTGTTTATATATATACAAAGAACCGCCTCGATTCTAATAACAGGAGCCGCGAGGAGCACCCCGCAACAGCTTTGAACGCAATGCTGAACTTAAGCCCGCTGGGACTCAGCATTAAGTGTCAGGTCGCACGTAGTGCCCTAAGGCTGCATGAACAAAATCTTTGGCGAAGTTGTACCTTTGGGTTGTATCTTGAACAAACCAGGTATGACATTGGACGCGTAAAACTAAGCGATCAGTCCTGAGATTTGACGATGTAGATGTCGTTATTCCTAGTAGAGACGACTAGAACCGGAGTAACACTCCTCTGGACGGTCTGACTTTTTATACAGACGGATCCAAGATCGAAGAAGTTACGGGTGCAGGCGTCTACTGTGAAAGGCTAGGCCTTGAGCTTACCTACAAGCTGGATAGCAACTGTAGTGTTTTCGAAGCTGAAATCAGCGGAATTGATAAAAAGTATGGATGCACAAAGATCGCTACATCAAATCTGAGGCTGTTCTCAAGTGTAGAACAGTTTGGA